GATAGTCTAATTCTAACTTGTAATTAACTATGTTTGCCAATTATCTGTTTGAAATAAATTTGTGTCTGAACAGCTATTGAAACTGTTAAATTGTACAGATATTATCATGACAGCTTTGTACTGTGGAATGTGCTTAATAAAAAACAAAAAAGTTTGACTTTTGTCCAATAAATTGCTAAGTAATGTCAGTAAATCAAGTATGAGTATGATGCAGTGCACCTAATCTGGCCTCATGCAACTGTTACTTCAGCTACTGACTCAAAGCCAATACTCTTAATAAAGTGTTGCAATACTCTGATGTTCTGTTAAGAAATTTTTCAAAAACACTGTTAAGTGCTATTAGGAATCCAGTGACATACAATTACAATTTATAGATTTTAAGAATCATCTGCTCTATAAAATGAAGTTGAAGGCAAACCGGTTTTGGCCTGTGAGAATGTTGTAGAAAATAATATTTCCTTGTCTTGGGCTTTTGCGGAAAGCTGGCTTGAACCTCAGGAGTTAGCTGGGGGATAGCTAAGAACTCTTTCCCTGCAGATCTGCTTCCCACACATATTTAATTGCTTCACAAGTTACTGTCAACATGAAAATGGCCTCTCAGACATCCCAAGAGGCATCAGGTATGAATGGATCCTCCCCTTCTTTTTAAAATTTATATTTATTTATTTTTTGAGACGGAATCTCTCTCTGTCACCCAGGCTGGAGTGCAGTGGCACGATCTTGGCTCACTGCAACCTCCATCTCCCAGGTTCAAGCAGTTCTCTGCCTCAGCCTCCCGAGTAGCTGGGATTATAGGTGCCTGCCACCACACCCTGCTCATTTAAAAAATATTTTTAGTAGAGATGGGGGTTCACCATCTTAGCTAGGCTGGTCTTGAACTTGTGATCCACTCACCCACCTCTGCCTCCCAAAGTGCTGGAATTATAGGCATGAGCCATCGCGCTGGCCCTCCCCTTCTTGAAGAAGGGTGGTGGAGGTGTGAGAGGTGCAGTTTTGCAGCCCTCTCCACCATAGCATCAGATAGGAATAAATTTTTGTGTGTAAGTGCATCACTGGTAGAGTACTGAAGCGAAAAGAATCCAGTGAGTATCTGTAGGATTCTACTCAGAAGTTCTACTACTCAGAAGAACTGAGGAGAAGCTGAGTTTTTCAGCTAGTGAGGCCAAACTTTCCCCATTAGTCAACCCGATTGGTAATGCGGACTTTTTGCATGAGATTAAAGTATTTCTATGTAACTGTTCTCACCCATTTTTCTTGTAGAACATGATTTTTAAGTGTGTCATATGTATGTGGTTAAGAGGATTAATACACAAACCACAAAAAGCAAAAAGTAATTTTTCCTCTCCCCCTTCACTCCCAGTCCCTTAAATGATGGTTAACCAGTTTCTTTCATAGATACCCTCTTTTCTATATACAGCTTGCTCTTCCAGCTGGGGAAGACTCCGGGAGCTTGTCTTGCAGGTGCTAAGATCTTGGGGCTCCTGCTGCCTCACTGCGCAGAGTTGAATCCAACACCTTGTAGACACTCAGCATCTGTGGGATGACTGAGTATGTGGCTATCTCAAGGTGTCTGCCTGCCCCACAGATAGGACGATGGACCCTATACATCAAATGCACTAATTCAGCAGTTAAAAACTATATTGGTTAGGTACAGCCATGTAAAAGATCTGTAGGGCAGATCATAAGTAACTTTTTATTAGTTAATGTGTTTGTTTTTTAGAGTGCTTTAAAAAAAATTTTTAAATATACTTTAAGTTCTAGAGTACATGTGCAGAACGTGTGGGTTTGTTACATCGGTATACACGTGCCATGGTGGTTTGTTGCATCCATTACCCCATCATCTACATTAGGTATTTCTCCTAATGCTAGCCCTCCCCTATCCCCCGACTCCCTAAGTAGCTTTTTCTGTGCATGTCAGGTAAACTGGAAAGTAGAATCCTATCAATGAGTTGGTATTGTTCTATTATTTTCAACTTCGTGGTCATCTGCTCATCCTGTCTCTAGGAATGGTTTGATTTTATTGCTCAGAGTATGTGAGTTATTACTGGGCCGGCCTGGGAGAACCTGGAAGTTACAAGGGCAACGACTTGAGTGGGGACAGAGAACAGCTTAAATCTGGTGTCTGGTGAGATCTCAGTGTGTACAGCTGAAGCGCTCTCTACCCTTCACCAGCTTTAGATTTAATGGACTTTGCCATTTCCCATTCCTTGCAGGCTGTGTTTGTACTTCCAAATCCCACCAACATGGGGGACTGGGGAAGATTATTTTTTTAAGCGTCTAGCTCTGTTGCCCACGTTGGAGTGCAGTGGTGTAATCATAGCTCACTACAGCCTCAAACTCTGGGACTCAAGGGACCCTCTTGCCTCAGCCCCCCAAGTTGCTGTGATTACAGGCTTGACCCATGATGCCCAGTGGAAGGGATGTTCTTAGAACACCATTGACCAATTCTACGGGGGCCACTTGTCTACCAGATGGCAGAGGAAAGGGCATGGGCTTTGGGGCCCAGAGACCTAGCTCAGGATTGGAGCCTTGACAGCAGGCCCCACAGGCAAGGGCATTGATTATCCTGAACCCGAACTCCTCAGCTGGGAAGTAGAGACAGTGTTTTAAAATTACTATGGGGGGTTAAATGACATCTCTAAAGTGCCTAGCACAGTGCCTTGTAGCTTCAATTTAAATGTTTAAACAAAGGGAACAGAATGCTCAGAGGGGAGAAAGGGACAGGAGTTAGTGGAATTTGGGGTGCCATGCTATGAAACCAACGTACTCAGGCAATCCTGAAGCCAGTCTGGGCCTCTTGAGGGGAAATATAAGAGCTGATCATCTTCCCTAAGGACTGGTCCCAGTGAGAACTTGAGTCTGTAACCAGGGCCTGGGTTGTTCAGTGGGTGGAAGAGGGGGATGGACCAGTGAACAGGTTTATACTGAGTTATATTTGTTAGTTTTATTATAAATATAAAGGCAGTCAACCTATCATATCCCCAGCTAGTATTTCTGGGAAGAGAAGGAGGTCTAAACATGTCACTCTCCTAGGTGAATTGTATTGTCTCCAGAGAGGACGGGAGAATTTCACGACTTCCCGGTGTGTATAGCTGGTGGATGATGCAAGGAAGAGGTTGGATCATGCCCACGACAGCAAGAATGAACATAAGTGAGTGACTAGAAAATAAAGATTCACGGGTGCCAGGCTGCTGGCGAAGGCTTTGTGTGCTCCCATCCTCACTGTAGCCCTGCATGATTTATGTTCTTACCATTTTACGGGTGAAGATACTGAGGCTCAGGTCTGTCTTTGTGAGCAGCTGGGTTTAGCATTGATTCTGGTGTGTCCTGGTGGCCACAGCTGGCTTCTTAGCATGCTGCCCTAGCCTCTCCCTCTCCATGCTCTGTGGGCCCCTGGATGCCTAGAGTGTCTCTGAAGAGCCAGGCTCACACTGTGGTCCCTTGGCACCCACAGAGCCTCTGCCCTTTTCTCCTCCCCTCCACTGCTATGTCCCTGGCATATATTCTTGGTGAGTCTTCAAAAGTGCACAAAGTGTGATGGAGTGCAAGGGGCCGGACAGGTGCAAGAGTCTGATTGTGGCTGGCCTTCTGGGCCTGGCTGGGGAGTGGGGGCTCCATCCTGGGAGCGGGGGCAGCCATTGGCTGGTTATAAGCTCAGGAGTGACCAGCTGGAAAGCTCGAGTTAAGATTCAGGAGAGAGATGTTCAGGTCCATTGAATAAGGAACATTGAGGAGGTGAGAGAGGGTGTTGGGAATTGCGGGCTTGGTGTGGAGGGAGCTGGAGGCGCTGACAACAGCATTCTTATTTGGTGCGTGTCTCCGGGGCGCCAGCAGATGGGGCTATAATGGAAGAAGACACAAGGTCCCTGCTCTCAGGAAGCTTACATTCTAAAAGGAAAAATGCACAATGATTGACGGTGTCCACAAACATGCATTTACAAGATAAATTCAGATAATGTTGACTGCAGTGACGAGGTTACACTGGGTGGTAGTTAGGTGTGGCCTGGGGGACACTGGATCCAAGTTTTCAGTAAGCAGGAACTGGTCATGTACTGAGCTGGGACAGAATGTTCTAGGCTGCGGGCATGAACACGCCAAGGCCTTGAGATGGGGATTTCTGGAGTGGGCAAGGGGCTGGAGGGATCTCCAGTCTCCCAGATAAGGGAATTGGGGTTGATTTGATCCAGGGGGTAAAAGGGGGATGCGTTTGGATGTGGACATTGGAGGGGCCCCAGAGAGGTTCCAGTGGAGCCCCTGGGCTGCCTAGAAGAGGAGACAAGTGGTAGTTTCAGAAGAGCCCAGAGGAACATTGCATTTAGGAAAGGGGCACGGGAGGACAAGCCTGTGACAAAGGTGGGAAGGAGCAGCGGGAGAGCCAGGAGCGTGGTACCCAGCAGTCTTTGCAGGGCCCATGGACACTCTCAGAACTTGGAAACCCTCTTTTGCAAACACTTGCCTCCAAGCTGCCCAGGCCTCCTGGGGAACAATGCCTGTCCACTAATCACACCGAAGGACACCTAATCCCGCTTCACACTTCTTCCAAGACAGCACCGCACTCTCCTAACGGCCAGGGCTCTGGCAGCAATAACAAACAGGCGCCCGGGAATAGCTTCTCCACTCCGGCCCTTGCCTGGCTTGTCCTTGGGAACACTCCCTGCCGCCCATCTGCACAAACAGACGGGGGCCAGGTCTGCGCCTCAGGAATGAAGAGATAAAAGGGACCATCGGGACTTTTTCCACCAAAGGCTAAAGCATTTTATAGAACGGGCTGCGAGTTTTTCTTTCAGGAAATTTCATCATGTCTCCAAGAAGGGGAGGAGGAAAAAGACAGAGAGAGAGAGAGAGAGAGGTGGGCAAGGGGGGGGGGGGGGGGAG